ATGTTCCAAAAATGCACCTCTTTTTCAGACTAATCCGAAGTGAATGTTGCTCTCTCTGATTTTTCACCATCTTCTTTCCTCCGTGTTTACTTATTTATTTATTTGGTATATCATATTTTCCTTGCATATATTTTCCTGCTGTATAATTATTTATCCGCTGCCCCACGCAGCAAGATATGGCACAAGGACGAGTTTAAAGTAGGCTCGGGCAAAAATTCCTTAGAGGCCACGTAAAAACGGAGTCAGTTTCCCGAGACGAGACTCTGCCCCTCGGCAGAGCCTCGTCTGGGGGATACCCTATGACATAAGCCAGGTAAGTATTTGCCTGCTGTATATAACGCGACTGGAATTCAAACACGTTTCGAATTGCGTACTTGATATAAATATATCAATATATAAATATATATATATAAATATATAAATAGCTTTATCTCCGTACAAAGTTGAAGAAGCAATATACCCATTTCATTCATTTTTTTTTTCAATTCCACGTCTTCCTAAACAACCCCGGGGTGGTAGCAACTGTTGGGGTCCCAGCTATAGGCAAATAGTTAACTCCCAAAATGATGTCAAAACACTACGAAAGTATAAAAATAGATTTTTATAGTAAAAATGCCAGCAATACATTTTTGAACAAAAAACTATTACCAGTAATACATTTGATATTCGACAAAAACCCTCTTTACAAAAATACGCGAATGAAACCTGATCTACAAACTGATTTCTTAGAAAGAATACATATTCTATTCATATGAATCTATCCTAAAAAAATCTTGTTGGCATTAAATAACCCATTGGGGTTGATATGCCATAAAATAAAATAAACCAAACCAAACCTTAACAATCCTATGTGTGCCAATTCGTACCGACTCTAACACTGAAGTTCGCTAACATAATTTTTTTAAATCGATTTCACCACAAGCAAAGTAATAAAGCTGCTAAGACGCAAGAGGTTACTGGATCTTTAGAAATTAGGAATAGAAATATTACCAATGAGCGGGAAGAGAAAAGAGCAACCAGGAGGAGAGTAAATAGCGTTTGACATTGCATTTAAATTTTTGTAGATTGAAGTTGGCTGGAACGCATGGAGCCGGGAGGGAGTTCCACAAGCGAGAAGTGCGATAAAAGAATCTGTTAGCATTTACGGTTACATTTAGCTACCTCAACTGTAAATTGATGAGATCTCGACACCAGTCTAGTACTACGCTTAAATTCAAAACTACGATGGCGAAGAGCGATATTTATTTGTAATATTTACAAAATGTGGCACAAGGCCAAAATGGGGAATGGAGAAAAGGCCGGTCTTCATCTGTCTTAACTTTAAACATAGCTAGCCACATTGACCCAAACATACCACAATATTTCTAACACCAAAACAACGGATTCTTACTTACATTTCTTACGACATCCACCATAATACCTCATTGTCTCTATGAAAATCATAACTAGTCCCCATATGTACAATTCATTGTCTGGGGGGGGGATAAAACAATAATTTAAAAACTAGCCCCAATTAGTATTTACAATAATGAAAACAAAACTATTTACAAGAAACCAAATAGAATAATGTTAGTAATAACCTACCCCCCCATACACACACAACCCTTAAATGTGTCAGAAACTTCAGTTAACTGGACGAAGTCATTGCGGGACTTTAATAATATAAAACATTCTTTCATCCCACGCACTCATTCAAACACAACAACAAATACGAAACTCACACAACAAAACGAAAGGCACCCCGCATCCACCAGAGAACTAACATCACTGACCACCTAACGAGGGAGTGGATGGGCAATTAAACCGAAAAAAAATAGGGACAGAAATAAAAGGGACCAATGAACATACATCCCCTAGCTAAGTTAACTGTAATGAATAAACTAAAGATACAAAAACAACCCTAAACTAGCCTAATTTCGGGAGGGGTAGCCTAAGTTCAAAACAGGAAGGACAATATCCTGATGCCTAATCGGCATCAAAGTGCCACTCTAAGTCAGCCCCTTTCACTCGACACAAACGCGCAAGATTCACCCACCTTTTGCCAAATTCTGATGAAGTGATCCGCCGCCTTTCCGACCTAATCTTGACTTTAAGCTGATCAGTTGGGAAGAAGTGAACTTCTCGCCTCCATAGAATCCCTTCTGACGTGTCGTCCAAATCACGACTTTCATGACCCCTAGCAAGCAAAAGAACACGTACTGTTCAGCCTTTGTCAACGGCGGTGCCAAATTGCTATAAAACAAAACTGGCCTCAAGGACAAAGAACTTACCTTGCAACATGAGGCCTTCAACAAACTTGCGTAACGGCGCTACGACCCCGCAACGAAAGAAGGTGTGACCTAGGGTTTCGAACTCCCCATCACAGCGTCGGTAGTTTGGAGATTTCTCCAGGCCCATTGGACAAAGTCTGTTGGCGACCCAGAGGGCTCCACGAATAGCAGCCAGATGAGTGATGTCTCATCGTTATAGGGCACCCAACGCCATATTGAGCGAACCTCCTGCTTTTGTAAGACCGAGCTCGTCAATCAGCTCATCACGATGGGGAAGAGCTCAGGAAAATATTTATATATTTGAAACCCCATCAAGAATTTTCCTTCTTCTTCTTCTTCTTCTTCTTCTTCTTCTTCTTCTTCTTCTTCTTTCTTCAGGGCGATGGTGATCATGGCTGTCCACAATTTCCTGTCCTTTGCAACTCTTAATAAATTTATCGTTTTGTTATCTCTCTTAAACCCTATTTTGCCATTTATGTACCCAAAGTCGCTAGGTGCATTATGCGTTGTTGTCATCTAATTAATTATCTCATGGTTATCTTCCTCTATCTGACGTGTCCCTTCAGGACGTTGACGATAATGGATCTCCACAATTTCCTGTCCTTTGTAGCTCTTAATAAATTTTGTCTTTTTGTTATCTCTCCTAAACCCTATTTTACCAATCATTTACACAAATTCATTCTTCTTCAATGTGCCGTGTCCCTTCAGGATGTTGGTGATGATGGCTCTCCACAATTTCCTGTCCTTTGTAGTCCTTTGTCATTTTTTGCTATCTCTCCTAATCCTTACTCTGCCAACAATTCACACATTATACGCTGAATTCACGGGTCCCTCTTGCCTTCCATATGTCCCGTGAATAATTTTCCAAGCCCTCTTTCCTTTATATGTGCTCTAGAAATTTCAACTGTAGTTTTCTGATTCAAAGCATCCTTTCTTTTTATGTTCCATGTCCTTTCAGGACGTAGGCGATCATGGCTCTCCACCACCTTCTATCCCCTACAGCCCTCAACAAGTTCCTTCCCTCTACTTCCCCCCCCCCAGACTACGTTCTGTCATCCACTTGCTTAAGCCCACCAGATATGTCATGAGTTGTTTTCCCTTGTTTTTCTTTCTCTCTATTCGACCCGTGGGTATCAGATTCTCCAGGCCCTCCTTCCTCATTATGTGTCCTAGAAACTTCATCTGCCTCTTCCTGATATAAGCCTCCTTCTTGTTTGCAACCTCTCTAAGACCTCATCGTTGCTCACACGCTCGGTCCATGATATCCTTAGCATCCTTCTGTAGAGCCACATCTCTGTCGCCTCGAGTCTCTTTTCATCTTTGAGTAATTCGCTCAACATTCGCTGCCGTAAAGAAGGACAGATGTCATGTAAGAGCTCTGTATTCTTTTCTTTGTTATCAAAGAAATCCGCCTGTCTCGCAATACTCTGTCCTTGGCAATCTCATCTCGTCTACGGATCTCAGTGTCGCACTTACCGTCCTCTGTCAGTGCGCTTCCAACTTATTTAAATATCTGCGTCTGCTTCATTCTAGTCTTCCTGGCCTTCAAATAGCATTTCGGGCTCATCCTTTTACTGATTACCATGGATTCTGTTTTCTAGTTTATGCTTAGTCCTTTCTTCTCACTCTTCTACCTTCTGTAGGAGATTTTGTAATTTCTTTTCTGTGTCTAACTGTCGTTTTTGTTTCTGTTTTTTGTAAAACTTCGTCTTGTTCATATCTTCAGTACGTGGTATTCTCAGCATCCTTCTGTAGAACCGTACTTCTGCTTTTCAAATCTCTTCTTTATCTATGAGGAGATTGTCGTCACTCTGGTCTTTCTCACGAAATTTTCTCGTTTCTTAATACTTTGCTTAGCTTTTGTAAGGCATCTTTCTCTATCCCAATGCACCTTCGGGTTTCGGTGTCGCGCTTTCCGCACTCTATTAAAACACTTCCCTGGTGTTTAAATTGTTGTACTTACTTGATTTTGGCGTCTCCAATTTGTAATTTTAATGTTGGGCTGTCCCTTTTGCTAACAACTATGTATTCTGTCAAGTTTTGCGTCTTTTCTACAGTCAAGAGTCGGTGCATATGCAGGGCCGGTGCAAAGGTCTTGTAGGCCCCCACTGAATCTATAATACGAGGCACCCACCCTTATGTCAATTTTATAAGGTAGTATTCATATAAAATACAAATTTTAGCGTAACCTAATTATATACAATAATGGATCATATGTCGCATAGATGAGCAATTCAACTAGAAAAATTGAAAATAAGTATGATGTATCTAAATATAAATTAGAGACTCATCATAATAGATGATTCCATCTTAAATAAATCAACAATGTTTTGCGGCAATTTTTAAAATCAACTTGATATTTTTTTTAACCCAACATTATGGATGAAAAGTAGCGAATTTTATAGTGTTTTTTTTTCGAGACTTAGCATAAGCAAGACAAATTGCTCGCCATTATCACCAGCAATAGCGAATATATATATGGAATACTTTGAGGAAATGGCATTAGAATCTATATCTCTAAAGCCAACTTTATGGTTAAGGTACGTAGATGACACCTTCATACTCTGGCCCCACCAATTTTCATAAGATAGTACACATATGAAATACTAATTTTATTGTAACCTAATTAAATACAATAATGGACGATATGCAATATAGGTGAGCAATTCAACGAGAAAAATTAAAAATAAATACAATGTAATTAAAAACAAATTAGAGACATAGATCATT